GGTGCCCTGGCAAGGCAGCCCCGCCGCTCTGCGGGACAGAAACCCGCCAGCAACAGCCGCTCCGCGCTGGAAAACTCTTGGTCACGAAGCAGCCGAAATGGGCTTTCCCGTGTTATGTGGTGGAAGTGGCTTCATTTACTGTGTTTTTTTCCGGTAGCTCCTATTCCACCCACTTCAGACAGGGGTTTGGGGGGTGGGTGCTAAACCTTGCTGTCTGCCTGGAATGAGAGGTGGGGGCTGGGGAGGAGAGGGAAATAGTGCCTGGTTTTGGCAGAGGCTCACAAACTTCTGTCTGTCCTTGGCCGTGTCCTGGCATCCCAAGGGCGTTCTGAGCGCCCCGATTTCACTGCTTCAGAGGTTATGTGGTGGCAGAGGAGTTCCAGGTCCCCCTGTTTCACTTTTGTACTGCAGTAACCATGCACATACCTGAATTGTCTGGTGTCAAGATGTCCAACAGCATGTTTTATAAATGTGTTCTCTACCAGTCAGCAACTGGAGCTGTAGCAACAGCTTGGCTATAATGTATAAAAGCAGCGTTTCTCTAATTTAGCAGTCGGTAAAGTGTGTGTATTTTGGTGCCCTCAGTGCTCCTTGGGGACAGAGTGTGAAAATGCCTATTGCCGTGGAGAGAAATCAGTTGCACTTCAAATCTGGAAATGTGAAATGATGGGCAGTGGCAGAGAGGTGGCTTTTCGTTTGGCTGCAGCCTTTGCACAGCTCTGCTCACCAGAGCCGTGCTGGGGAATGGCTGTAGCAGTGCAGGGACTGCTGAGGTGGCTGGTGATGCCCGAGCTGAGTGCTGGGTTTCTCTGTCTGCATTTCCTGCAGCAGTTGCATGCTGCTTTAGAATTCAGTAATAGGAATAAAAGTTACTAAGATTTTTGAGCCATGACTTGTCACGTACTGATTTAAGCAGGTTTACACTTAGAGCCAACTAATATTTTCTGAGGGTATTCTGAGCTATCTTTTGCTCTTAACAGGGTATAAGGTGTTTATTTCCTGTTTTCAATCAAGGGGATTGATAAAAGGTGTCAATGGCAACAAATGGCTAATGCAAACTATTGCCAGCCAGCTCAACAGATCTTAGCTTACTTGGCTCTTGCAAAACACCCAACTAGTTGAATGCTGTGGAGGGGGAAAGATTAAAAACTGTAATGCTTAACAATGCAGGCAAAAAAACCCCCCTGAAAACTTTTACATTAATACAAGGCTAGTTCTAATACTTTGTATAGGACTTTTGAAAGTCCCTGCACAGTCTTTCCTTCACTTACTGAGCGACAGTTACCTACACTACAGAAGCAAGAAGTTAGGTGATCTACCAAATGCTAGTGTAGTAGGATGATACTCAAATGTGACTATGCCGTGTGGGGAGAAGAATGAGAAAGTCAAACGTTATAGTAGGATTTGTGTTCTCTGGTGAAATTAAATTGGCTTTCAGTACGGTTATGGCTTTGAAGGCCTTTTTTTTGTGGTTCTTAAGTGAAGATATCCCTGATTTGGGCTTTTTTGTTTTGCCAAAATTATCTTGTATTGATGAATAGACAGAAGCTAAATATTTGCTCTCTACTTACTTTAAATGTCAAATGTTTTTGGTGGTGTTGCTGATGTGGCTGGGATCAGCTGGCAGTGAAACATGAGTCCCTCTCCCAATGTTGAAAGCTCAGCTGCCTTTGCTGGGCATTTTGCTTATCTGTTCCTGGTGTTCTCCTGTGTGTTTTCTGGCTAGATGTTCCTCTCAACACCGGAAAAGGTCACTGTAAGAGCCCATGAAACAACATGTTTTGTCCTTCATTGTCAGAATAGTTCTGCACAGGCTGCATAGAGGGAGAGGCAGCAGAATGAATGAAAGGGATGCCTGTGCATCCCCTTCTCCTTGAAGTGGTGCTATGAGGGAAGACATAAATGTTTTTATTTCTCATCTTTTAATTACTATTTTTTGATCATAACAAATACTTTTATATTTGTGTTTCACAGAGGCTTACTCCAGTTGCCTTGCTTGTCTGGTGGCTCTTGCTGCTGTTTTGAAGTTTAGTAAAACAGAATTTTGGTTTTGGAAGGACAGTCATACAAACTGTGGTGTTAGAGCAGATAGTAGGAGACCTCTCCCTCCAGCACAAGGGATGCCTGCTGACTCAGAGGGAAGAGTTTTGTCAATGAGATTTCTGCAGTGGTATGGATCCACAGTTAGTTCTTGATGTACCATTTGTTTTCTTGCTTAGCAGTGGTGGTGCTTATTCAGAGGCTCTGCTCTCTTTTTACCTATGTGTGCACCATATTGAATTTTGATTTTCACATGGCTGATAATGGCTTTTTTGTTTGTTCCTGCCTGGCTGTGGTTTATGTACTCTGTGTCCAAACTTGACATAAGCCAGCAAAAATCACCAAGGTCTCAGATGCTCCTTAAGGTAGTGGGGTTTTTTATTTTTTTTGTGTGTTGATGACTGTGTTTTTATAATGTCACCCAAGGCATTGTCTTCATGCAACTGTGAGAGAGGAAATCAAAGGTGTTTTAGGTAATACCTATTAATCACAGAGAGGCTGGAAGGGAGGCACTTCAGCTTTCAAAGGTAAAATGTTTTCTCAGCATCTTCCAGTCAGGCAGAACAAAGTGATGTGGTATAGAGTGATTTGGGCATCTTTTCAGTTAGAAAGGGTTGAAGGTTTGTTTTTTTGAGGGGGCTGTTGTTTGTTGGTTTTCTTTTGTTTCTTTCTATTTGCAGCATTGTTCCAAGCAGGTAGCATTTGTTCACCCACTCAGAATGTGGAATGCAGACACTACAGAAAGCTAAAAAAGCCCCCAGACATTGCGAAAATATTACACGCTGTTCTTTTGATACTGCAGCCAAGCAGACCACTGAATGGCTTGAGACAGTGTCTCATTCTTTATTTGTATGTTCCTAGCAGAAAGAGCTCACGTCAAAGAAAAGAGATGAGTTTGAAGATATCTTGGAGGAAAGACGGTTTTCCAGCGACTTGAGATACGCGATGAAATGTTATACACCTGTCATCTACAAGGGACTTTCACCTTGCAAGCCAAATGCTATTAAAAGTGCTGTTCTCCAGTCAGAGCAAGTTCAATATGTTATCAAGCAGGTGAGGTGGGGCATGGAGCTGTAAGACCAGGTAGATT